GTAGAGCTGGATGAACACAGCAGGTCAAGCAGCATCAGAGGAGCAGGAAAGCTGATGTTTCGGGTCTGGACCCTTGAAGGGAATTTTGGAATACGTTCAAGGTTTTGTAAAGAAATATAGAAGGGAAAGAATTATTGGTGTTATAATTGCAGGGACCTTTCTTAATTCAAAGTTACTTCTTTTTAAATGTCTAAAAATTCATCATCCTACCAGTTTCAGGCATTGGTTGAAGTCTATCTATAGTAAGGGTTAAAAATCTCTGTCAGCCCTCAGTGTGAATTAAAAAAAACCTTTTGGAGATCAATAGATTACTAGTTACTACAGATATCCAGGGAATGGAGACCACATGATTAATGTCATAAAAATCATTGACTTTCAATGGCATTACCATCACTGAAACCACCACTAACACCACTCTGGGGGCTAACATTGGCCAGGACCTGAACTGGACTGTTCATATAAGCACATTGGCTACAACAGTAATTGGATGCCATGAATCCTGCAGTAAGTAACTCACCTCCTGATTCCTGAAATTCTGTCCACCATCTACAATTTTGATCTAGATCATAAAGGGAAGGAGGTCAGGTCAGAACTGTGCGAAACTGTGGTTAGGCCGCAGCTGGAGTACTGTGTGTGGTTCTGCTCACCAGACTATAGGAGGAATGTGATTGCATTGGAGGGGGTGCAGAGTAGATTCACCAGGATGCTTCCTGGAGTGAAACAGTTCAGTGATGAAGATAGGTTAGATAAGCTCGGGTTGCTTACTTTGGAGCAGAGAGGGCTGACAAAGGTATATGAGATTATGAGGGGCATGGACAGGGTGTACAGAAAACAAGGGTCAATAACAAGGGGGCATAATTTTAAAGGGAAAGGCAGGTTTGGAGGGGATTTGAAGAAAACATTTTTCACCTAGAGGGTGGTGGGAGACTGGAATGCATGGCCCAGGAGGGTAGTTGAGGCGGGAAACCACACAACCTTTAAAAAGTACTTAGATGAGTGCTTTAAATGTCATATTCAAGGCTATGGGCCTAATGCGGGAAAGTGGGACTAGTGTAGGTAGTAGCACGCTTTAGGCTGTACAGACTCAATGTGCTGAAGGGCCTGTTCTGTACTGTATGATTCTATAAGATAAGGCTCTATCCTATTGTTTATTCCCTACCCCACCCACCTCCCTATTTTCTGCAAATAAACTGACAGTTTCCCAGCCACCATCAGTTCTGAGGAAGGGTGATTGGACCCGAAACATTAACTCTGTTTTCTCCTTCACAGATGCTGCCAGACCTGCTGAGCTTTTCTGGCAACTTTGTTTTTGTTCTAGGTCAGATTGAAGTGTGTGGTTGGTTGGGCAAGTTGGACCGAAGGATCTGTTTCTGTGATGTGGGTGACTCTATGACCCTATAACAGCTAGACCTAAGCAATAAGTAGTGGCACAGCCAATGAAACCCACATCTTGTGAGTGAATAAAATTATAGCGGATCAGTCATGATCTAGAATAGCAGAGCAGGCTGGAACGGCTGAATGGCCTCCTCCTATTCCGATGTTCCTGGATTTCGATGCAGTTAGCCCCAATCAGACTTGTGAGTTTCTTGATATTGCTGAGTGGGAGTGAACGGTAGTTTTAAAATTACATAGATGTCTTTATATCAGGTGGGAAAGGGTTGCGAGGCTGTTTGGAACAAATCTGATCCCATGAGGAATTTGTTACCTGCGGTACCGCCCTGTACACACTGCACACGGCGGGATGGGGGGTGGGATGTGAAACGGGGGGGGTCAGACCTCACATAAATGGAGAGAGAGAAGGAGAGAGCAGGTGAGAGTGAAAGCTGTACTGAGTCCAGCTCACACACGCACATTGCTAAACCTACAGGCAAAATTCAGAATAAAACGAACCCTCCGATCAGAAAAGATTAAAAGAGAGGTAAACTGAACGAGTTAGTGAGAGACATTGGTGTCTGTTTTTTTTTAAAGAAAACGACTTAGATTCCACGAAATGAGGATGGAATGAAACAAGACGATCTTTCTATTCGTTAGAGATAGCAAGAAGTGCAGATGCTGGAGTCAGAGATAACACAGTGTGGATCTGGAAGAACACAGCAGGAAGAAGGGTCCCGACCCGAAACGCCAACTTTCCTGCTCCTCTGATGCTTTCTGTTCGTTAAACTGACTGGTATTAGACTATAGGCTGCCCAAGGATTCGTTACAATCCAATATATTTTTCGAAAAACAAAAAAAAAACAGAAGTTGCTGGAAAAGCTCAGCAGGTCTGGCAGTATCTATGAAGAGAAATTAGAGTTAACGTTTCAGGTCTGGTGGCCCTTCTCAGAACTCAGAATATATTTTTCGTCTCGTTTTAACCTGCATACCCTCTCTATTTTTTCCTCCTAAGGTTGCTTTGTGATGTGAGTTTTGTTCATGGGTTTAGTTACTTCAGTTGGTTGACCAGCAGGTTTGCGATACAGAGTGATGCTAATAACATGGGTTCAATTTCCACGTTGGCTGAGGTGTGGCGGCCCTTAGCTTAAGCTACCATCAGCCGTCTCCCTCTAAACAAAATAAAAAGGCTCGCGGATGCTGGAAATCAGAAACAAAAATAGAAACTGCCAGACCTGCTGAGCCTTTCCAACAATTTCTGTTTTTATTTCTGGCAATCAGAAATTGCATCGAAAACTCTGCTTTCTCGCCACAGATGCTGCCAGACCTGCTGAGTTTTTCCCAGCAGTTTCTGTTTCTATCTCTCTTTGATGATCTGCTTGGCGACTTCTAATGTTGGTTTCCTGTCTGAGTGAAGTAGGGGGTTAGCTCAGAGGGTAGACATTCCCAGATGTGACACTGACTACTGTCTCATCTTCGTTCAGTCTGTTCGCCCAGAATTCATTGATATTTCAGCTCAAATTTAACTGCGGATTTCGTTCAAAAGCAAAACAGAGAGGTAAGTACATAATGTAGCCCCTCGTTTGGTGGAGTTGCTTTAATTTGAATCTCACACGGCTGCGTTTAAAATGTGGAAATGTTTTCAGACGAACTTTCAGTCTGGAGTGTGAGAACTGAGAGTGGAGGGGTCTTAAACTCGGTCACTCGTGAGCTATACTTTAGCCGGTCTACCCGTTTCTTCTCCCATACAATAGAAGCCATTCTACCCATCGTGTCGGCGCCAGCCTTTTGCAAATTGAGTCTCTTTTAGGAGGATAAACTGCCCCCTTCAAATATTTATATCAATCCTCTTTTAGGAAATATCCTTCCACCATCCTTTCAAGCAAACCATCTTGAGTACAGATCAGTAGGTTCAAAATTGATCATTTTTTTCTCTCCTTGGTCACCGGTCAATTTCCTGAGATCCATAGAGGTCTCTCTGCTATTGGTCCCCCTTTTTATAAATGGAATCCATTTCCCAGCATTTATTCGATCCACCCCTGAGAAAGATGTTTACAATCTCCGGAGAATGTACAGTCGAGCCCAATGATTCTTCCTTTGAGAAGGGTCTGTCTCAGCTCATTCAGATTTCCAGAAACGCCCTGCTCCCTGTGCCCCTCACCAGTCTTGGGTGTGTGCTGATTCTCTGGGTTGAAGGAAAATTCGCAGCGGGGAAACCAAAGAAGAGCCAGGGATTTTAAAAGTAATCTAATCTAATGCACTCTCCGATGTCTAAACACTAGAAATTTTTCCTGATGTTCGATTGATTTTAATTCTATAAAACATAACTAAACGAAAAATATGACCTCTGTATGGACCAATGCAGGAAATATTCTCAAATTCGGAAATGTCATTTTAATCTAACTCATTTTAAACATCTGTGAGAGAACAGCTTAGAAGCAAGTTCAAAAACAGAAGTTGCTGGAAAAGTTCTGAGGAAGGGTCACCGGGCCCGAAACGTTAACTGATTTTTTTTCTTCACAGATGCTGCCGGACCTGCTGAGCTTTCCCACCAATTCTGTTTTTGTTCCTGATTTACAGCATCCACAGTTCTTTCGGTTTTTATATAGAAGCAACTTCAGTTTCGTTGATACATCGGGGACCTGGAGCAGGTGCGGCGAAATATTTGAGTCTTTCCTTGCTTCAGAGAAATGAGGGGTTTTGGGGTTTTGGAGCGTGATCATGAAACACCCCTGGGTGCTGAGGAGTGGCTAACATTTTCACGGAGACTCTCAAAGGGAACATGTAGATTCACTGCCACACCCAGAAAGACCAGAGACAGGACAGCGGGCGAGAGACAGCGGTGTGAGAGAAACCACAATTTAGGGAACTCCCGGAAAAAGCTATTTTCCTTGTTCAATCAAAAAAAGGGGTGACTTTTATAAAAAGCAAAAAAACCCTACAAACTCTCAGAACTGAAAATAAGGAATTTGGGGGTGAGAAATTTTAAAGAGAGAGAGAGAGACAGAGACAGGGGACTAAACAGAGGGAGAGGGAGATAGAAGATAGACGCACACTAACAGAGAGAAGCACACAAATAGGGACACAGGAAGAGACACAGACTGAGTGAGGGGGTAAGGCGCGCACACACACACACACACACACACATACCGAACGTGGGGGAGAGTGAGGCATAGGCAGACACACAGACACACACACCGAAAGTGAGGGAGAGAGAGACAAACAGAGAGACAGAGACACACATTCAGAAAGTGAGCGAGAGACAGACAGACACGCACACACACACACACACACACACACAAAGGCAGAGACAATCAGAGGCAGGGCGACACAGGAAAGTGAGAGATAGTGAAGGGAGAGTGACACACTGGGAGGCAGAGAAACGGAGACAGTGAGAGAAACAGGGACAGATTGCCAGAGAGAGAGAGAGAGACAAAGTGACACCTAGAGCGGCTGTGCACACAGACAGGCTGGCAATATAAGAGAGACTGGAAGACACAAGGTGTCATCCGATGAGAAACCAACTGTAGAACAAACTCAGCCCAATTGGAGACTGGCCCCGTGAGGTTTATCAGCAGCTGAGAGAGAGAGAGAGGCTCATGTTTAGAGAGTGCCAGTGGGTGGGAGAGAGAGAGAGAGGGCCAGTCCCTGCTGACAGTGAGAGAGAGATTCAGGTAGCTGTGGTTAAGATAGGGTCACAGGTTGTTAGTGTGAGAGAGAGAGAGAGAGAGGCTCCAACTTCACGTTCCTGCCCACATTCCCCCCAGAATCTCCCTCCTGCCTGCGTTCACAACATGGAAAAGTCGAAAAACTTCCGGATCGACGCCTTGCTCGCTGAGGAGCCTCCCCGGGCCATGCCGAGCTCCTCTCCCCCGGTGCTGAGCCCCAGCTCGGTGCCTGAGAGTTCAGCGGGGAGTCCTGGCTCCTGTATCCGCACCGAGACGCCTTCTCCCCGGGAAAAAGGGGCCGGTTTACCGCTGGCCAGTAGCAGCAGTATCATTCCCAAACCGGGTTTACTAAACCTGCAACCGCCGGGCCTTGGCTCCCTGTCCCACCCAGCTATGTACGGCCACCCAGTGTACACTTATCCGGGATTGGGAGCCCAGCACCCGGCGCTGACCTACAGCGCCTTCCCTCAGTTACCGCAGCCGCATCCCGAGCAACTGAAAGCGGCGGCGGCAGCATCGTTTCATTTAGACCATTGGCTCCGGGCTCAAGCTGCTGGGATGATGATACCGAGACTGCCTGACTATAGCAGTGAGTACCAAGTCAGATAAAGCCACTTAACCAGCAACTCTGTGAAAAGTTAACAAGCCCCATCAATATGTATTCTCAACAGCAGCGCGTCTCATAACATTTACAAAGGCCCGACTCTTGTAAGGTTCGATCGAGCGGCCGAGGGCCCGATTTTAACTCAATGTAGATTTTACACCGAGTTAAAATCACGCTGCTTAAAGACAAATGAACCAACGGAGATTCAAAACAAGGATTTGTAACTTGAGACGCTGAGAAGTAGCATTGCACGCGAGCAAATTCAAATAACTTGCAAATAGAATTGATAAAGGCTTAAGTAAGAAAAAAAGGAGCAAATTTGCAAGGTTATGGGCAGGAATTGTAAGTTCATTGTATTGCAAGAAGCTAGCACCGGGCGGATGGGCCGAAGACGCTATGCCCTGTGGATATCGGGTTAGGGGATAGTTTGTTGCAAAGATCAACAACTAATTTTCTGCGCGATTTGCCTGTTTACAGTTTGTTTTCTTTTGATAGTTTTTTTTAAAAATTGCGTTCAGTTTTGCAGCTAGAAATGGCATCCCGGTTTTCCCTGCGTTAATGGTGAATTTTCCTGACATCGTTACTTTATTAACGCCCTGTCTCTCACAAATACACACAGCCAAACAGAAATGGTTTTGAGGTGGAGGCTGCTCAGATCCATCGTTTTACAGGATTTCTGTTTAAGTCGAAATTCTCCGAGAAATACTCATTGAGGACTTGGAGAGCAAACAAATTCAGTTGGCCAGACACATTATGGAACTAAATGTGACTGTCCTGTGTACAATATTCTGAAGGGCTGGACTGGGTAGATACAGAGAGGTCGTTTTCCCCTTGTTGGAGAATCTAGTACGGTACAGACTTTTGACAGCACAGACTTGATAGGCCGAATGGGCCTCTTCTTTACTATATATTTCTATGATTCTAGGACCAGAAGGCATAATCTCAGAATAAGGGGTTTAAACCAGACACTCAGAAGGTATCAGTAAAATTCATTATCACAGAGGGCTGGAGAGGCTGGGTCATTAAATATATTCAAGGCTGAGATAGACAGGCTTTTTTTTTTACTTTTCTTTGAAAACTGGACCCCAAATGTTACCTCTGATTTTTCCCCACAGATGCTGCCAGACCTGTTGAGATTTTCTAGCAATTTCTGTGTTTGTTTTTTTTAAAAAAATTAATTTATTATTGTCACACGCATCTATGTAGAGTGAAATGTCATGTTTTGCCATAGGCAGATCATGCCATACAAAATGTATTGGGGTAATACAACAGAGCGAGGAATCCAAAGTTAGGACTGCAGGGAAGGCTCACAGAGAGCGAGATCAACATTAAATTTAAAATTTGAGAAGTTTTGTCCAAAGGTTGTAGGGAAAAAGCAGGAAAATGAAGTTGAGGATTATCAGATCAGACACCATCTCATTGAATGATGGGCTGAATGGCCTATTTCTGCTCCTATCCCTTATAGTTTTTGTACTTGTCCGTGCGGTCAATCCAGACGTTTCTCACAAAGTGAGATTTCTTGTGAAAGGTTCTGTGGCTGCATCTGTTGTGTGTTTGAGCGGGGCCACTTGGGAGAGAGTTCCGTGTCGGAATGTTTCAGACTGAGTGAGAAGAAAGCGCCGGCTCAGAACTCTCTCTTTCCCCTCAGGCAGCGCTGACATTGAAGTGGGATTAAACCTCTCAATTCCCCCTGGGTCCAAAGTAATGGGGCAGGGGATCGATTTGATCGGAATTTCACGCACTCCGAAAATTTCAAATTCATTTGGGGACACTTGGAAAGGGAGAGATATTTAGTCCCGTTGTCTACGTATGATTAATCTGTGCGTGTACATACAGGCATAGAGAGTGTGGCACGGTGTGGCGCTCCTTTAATCATATTGTAACGAAATAGTTTTCACGCCAACTCAAATTAAACGGGAAATAGGGATCCCAAAGCACAAGACAGAAAAGCGACTGGAAGTTTGTTGATGGATATTTTGTGAGAAATTAACCTTAATTCAATTCCCACAATCGTAGCAAAACATTGTGGGATGTTGGATTTCTGAAATTAACATAGGGAATGTTGGAGAAACTCGGGAAGTCTGGCACCCTCAGTGAGAGACTATAGGGTTCTGATGAGCGGTCATCCCGCACTTGAAACGTTAACTCTGTCTCTCTCTCTCCACAGGCGCTGTTCAGACCTGCTGAATTTCTCCAGCAATTTACTGTTTTTTGTTATACACAGTTCTGAGGAAGGGTCACGGGACCCGAATCAATAGCTCGGCTTTTTTTTCTTCACACAGACGCTGCCAGACCTGCTGAGTTTCTCCAGCAATTTCTGCTTTTGTTGTATTCCCTCATCATCGATTCTTGCGGAACAGGCTGGAGGTGCTGAATGGACAACTGTTCCTATGTAGAAAGAATTCATACGGCCCATCGTTATCTGTAGTAGCTCTTTCACAATCGTTTTAAAAAGTGATTTTATTTTTTTAAAAAGTCATTCATGGGTTAGACCAGCATTGTATTGCCATTCCCTAGTTACCCGGGGGCAGTTAAGAGTCAACCCTCAAAGACATTAGTGAACTAGCTGGGTTTAGGTGACAATGGTCACCATGAGACGTTTGCTCCTTTTTATTTTAATTGAATTCAAATTCCACCATCTGCCGTGACAGGATTCGAACCCACGCCCCCAGAACATTACCTGGGTCTTTACTGTAATAGACTAACAACAATGCTACTAAGCCATCACCTCCCCAACAACAGACAATTAGGTGTTTTTGAGTCCAGTCACTGTTGTGTGTATGCCTGTCAGATTTAAGTAGATGGTACTAAAACCTTCAGAAATAATCCTTGCCCTTATGTGGTATAGAACGTTTGTAATACTGCCCCATGCCTGTCTGGTAGGACAGTGGCTGCTCTGTGTGTGTGTGTGACTGTGTGTGTGTGTCTGTGAGTGTGTCTGTGTGTCTGTGTGTGTGTCTATGTGTGTGTATGCGAGAGAGAGGTGTGTGTGTGAGATGTGTGCGCGCGTGTGTGAAATGTCTGTTTGAATGTTCATGTGAGATGTGTGTGCGTGTTTCAAATGTGTGTATGTGTGTGAGATGTGTATACGTGCGTGTGAGATGTGTGTGTGAATGTGTTCGTGTGTGTGTGAATGTGTGTGTGTGAAATGTGTGTGTGAGATGTGTGTGTGTGTGAGATGTGTGTGTGAGATGTGTGTGAGGTGTGTGTGTGAGAGACGTGTGTGTGTGAGATTGTGTGTGTGTGTGTGTGAGATGTGTATACGTGCGTGTGAGATGTGTGTGTGAATGTGTTCGTGTGTGTGTGAATGTGTGTGTGTGAAATGTGTGTGTGTGTGAGATGTGTGTGTGAGATGTGTCTGAGGTGTGTGTGTGAGAGACGTGTGTGTGTGAGATGCGTGTGTGTATGTGTGTGTGTGTGAGATGTGTGTGTGTATGTGTGTGTGTGTGAAGAGGCCAGTCTTGTAAAAGGAAGTTGTCTTTGTCAGTCTAATTGGTCTTTGGAAAAAATTAGTTCAAACTGCAACTGAAAACAGGTTGTTTCACGGCCCATTAGCTGAACTGAAGAGATCAGTGTGTATGTGTGTGTAGATAATGCGATTAGATACGCCTCACACCAAGACAAGGAGACACAGAGCGAGAGAGAGAGACGGCACACACACTAATTCCGCAGCCCAAGAAGGCAAACGGAAAAACAGAAACTGCTAGAGAAACTCAGCAGGCCTGGCAGCCTCTGTGGAGGGAAAGCAGGGACATAACGATCAGATAATTCTGCAGATTGCAGAAAAAGCGAGAGAGACACCGAAAGGGATAGGCTAGAAAAAGAAACGGTTGAGAAAATGAACCAGAGACAGTCAAAACAAATGGAGAGATGTTGCGGAAGACAGTTTGGGTGCTGTGCATGTGTGAGGTGGGCTGTGGGAAGAATGGAAGGGAATAACAGAGGTAGAGAAGGAAGGAAAGAATAAGCGGTGAGATATTGAAAAAAGGGGTAAAGTTAACACCTAAACGGGGGAAACGGGCAAAAAGAGAGGGACAGACTGAGAGAAACATAGAGTGAAATAAAATAAGGAACAGCGGATACTGGAGATCTGAAACAAAAACAGAAAATATTGGAGAAACTCAGCAGGTCTGGCAGCACGGAGAGAGAGAGAGTTAACGTTTTAAATACAATATGAATTGGAAAACGTGCGAAGCAGATGGGAGATTTAAAAACATATCTACATAGGGCTGAAATAAATCTGCCTTCCAGAATTACACAGTATTTATTCCTGTGCAGATAATTTCGTATGTTAACACTCCCCTGACCCATTTCCAGCATTTCCATATTTATTCTCCCTGGTCTGATTGCGGTGAAGCAGAAAAAGAGGCAAATTTCACAGCAACAGCGCCTGTATCGTTCAGGAAAATGAAACAGTTTTGAGCGTGTGATGTTTTGCCTGTGAGCGCCTGTGTTTATTGTGTGGATTCAGGAGGAGGAAGAGGCAGCTGTGGTCTGATTTCAGGGTAAACAATCGAATCTGCTTCACACACGGGAATTGGCGAAAAAAAGGAACAAAAAAAAAACTGGAAGAAATGTTTAATTGAAAAAGCAGAGGAATGTAAAATGCGAGCAGTTCCGGCTCCCGGGAAAAAAACTCCGTTTTGGAATTTTTCTTATTTCCCACATTGGGAACGATGGGCCGAATGGCAGATATAACGCTCGGGTGTATTTATATATCCTCCTGGGACTTTATACCAAATCCACACTGAGGTTTATTTGATTAAAAAGCGGGCTGATCTCGTTTCTCTAGATTCCTATCTAAATCTGAAATAAGGGTTTTTGGGGAAATTGAAGATTAATGTCCCAGGACTGCCGTTTTTACTGATGCGCCAGTTATGATGAGACTCGCCTCCGAGTGGTTGAAATTGCTGTGTGGCCGAGCTGATTCGCTGCGGCCGGCGCCACTTGAAGTTTGCAGTGAGATTTCGCAGCGTTCGTCTGCA